TCGCGATAGCAGAGAGAATGGTGCGTTTGCTCTGGGGAGCGTCGGGTTCGATAACCACCTTGAATTGAAAGACGTCGCGCGCGGGGTTCCAGACGATCCCGAGCACCTTAACCTTTTCGTCAATCGCGATAGACTTGCTGCAAGCTAGGCCGTGATTCGAAGGGTCAATATCCGCGAGTAATTCGGGGGAGTTGCTGGCCCACTTGCGCAAGTCGAATTTGCCGCGTTGCAGCAAAGAAACAAGCTGGTCTCGGCGCTGGCGCAAGGAATCGACATCATTGTCCCCGAAAAGCACGTCGTCCACATAAATTTGCTTACGAAGTATCGAGGCGGCAAGAGGGAACCGGTCACCCTCGTCGTCGGCTAGACACCTCAGTACGCGCAGCGCCAAGTACGGGGCGCAAGTCATGCCATAAGTGACCGTCAGTAGGTTGTAATCCCGAGGCGCGTCAAAGCCATCCGGCTGCCACCGGATGCGTTGATAGTCGATATCGCGTGAGTCGATCAAAATTTGTCTAAACATTTTAGCAATGTCGGCAGTGTAAACGTACCGAAACTGGCGCCATTGCATGACGATTGAAGGTAATTCGGTTTGGAGTTTAGGACCGGAAAGCAGGTGATCGTTCAGCGTAGAGCCGTTGGAGGTGATGCACGAAGCATTGAAGACAACGCGTAAACGAGTTGTGGCGCTGTCGGCGCGAAAGACCGGATGATGCGGGATGTACACCGCTTGGCTTCGGGAGCAAGGCGTTTCCGAGATCGGCCGCATGTGCTCGAGGCGTTCATATTCGCGCATGAAGTCCCGATAATCGCTCTCCAATTCCGGCTGCGATTTGAAACGATGGAGCAGGGATTGCAGCATTCGATCGGCAGACTGCTTAGAACGCCCGATATCGATAGGAGGAGGCGCCTTGAAGGGCAAACGAACGACGTATCGACCGCGGTCGTCTCGAGAATGGGTCTCGCGGAAATGATTCTCGCACTGCTCATCCTGAGGCGAGAGGATCTGAGAAGGGGGAAGCTCCTCGATCTCCCAAAATCGCTGGAGATCCTCCGACAGAGAGACATCGAAGGTACAGAGTTGCACCGAAGTGTGTGAAGGCACGTGTTCCGCTGCCGCGGAAAGCGGGCCGGAAATTATCCACCCGAAGACGGAGTTTTGCGCGATTGGCTGGCCGGAGTTTCCCTTCCGAATACCACTAAGAATAAGGTCGCTGTAGAGGTCAGCGCCAATGATGACTTGGATGGGATCAGAGCAGGTCGGATGCGGATCCGCCCACGTCAAGTCAGAGAGGTGAGAGAATGCCGCCATAGTCGACACTCGGCGAGGAGCGTAGGACGTAAGCGACGGGAGAATGAGCGCCGTCGTCGAAAACGACGGATTCGCGGTAGCGACGGGGCACACCGTGATCTGAGCGGCATGTCGCACCGTGCCGACGTGAGCACCCCCCACTGCCGAAATCGAGACAGGCCGTCGAATTCGGCGAGTTCGCAAGGTTTGAGCCAAGCCTTCAGAGATGAAGGTGGCCTCGGAGCCCTGATCGATCAGAGCACGCGCGACCACGCAACGACCCGAGTCGCCCTCCACCTTGACGCGCGCGGTGGCGAGGAGGACCTGCGATCGCGGGCGCGACGTCGAGGCCGCAAGCAATGAATTGACCGCCACGGTAGGCGACGGCGAGGCGGGCGATGGTTCGTTGGCTTGCGGAGCCAACTGGTCGGTCTCAGGATCCGAATCCGCGTGCAGCATCGAATGATGTCGCTTACTGCAAGTGCGACAAGAAAATTTGCTCTTACATTCCGTGGCGGAATGTGAGGCGCTTAAGCAATTGAAGCAGCGCTTCAGCTTCTTGACA